TTGGGAAAAACTACTCACATTACATAATTTCACATTGCATATCGCAAAATTATGAGATGAACAAAACAAACATTCAATCAACTTATGGTACACTAAACATGTAATTAATTGAGGCAAGTTACAAACATTTTATAACTCCTAAATACTTAAATCACATTACTAGGCAAGAATTGCAAATGACATGATTAACATGCAAATAATTCTAGAGAAATTAACATGAATTTAAATATAGGCAAGTTATAAACTTTACAACTCCACACCTAAATTAAAGATTAATAGGTACAAGTTACATGAAAATTTACTACCTAATAAACATGCTAGAAATGTAAATTACACTAAAAATTAAACCCGAATGAACATGTAATTTATATTGTAAACTAGAAGCATGTGAACTAGAAGCATGTAAATCTAGAAATACAAGGCATGAACCGGTACACCATAAATTAATAAATTAATTAGAAAATACAGTGAATTAACGTTGCACCAATGGAACTCTTCTTCCCTATTGATAACAGTGGCCCATTCCATGCCATGGGAAGACCAAACAGTAGCATAAACAAAATGGCAAAATCAAAAGCTTAACCCTGTGTACATGCATCTAATAAACCAATTAACTTGCTATTACTACCAGTGGCTAATTACATGCAAAATTATTACACACACCTATGAATTTATTAATCTAATTCTATGATAAACGTCGAATCTATTTTAAGCTTGTTGGGAAAAACTACTCACATTACATAATTTCACATTGTATCGCAAAATTATGAGATGAACAAAACAAACCTTCAATCCTAGGAAAAATAACATGCTGAATAAAATACAAATAAAATATAAAATGGTTAAAGGAAGCAAATCGAAACCTGTGTGATACCGCAGTCTCCTTAAAATAGATTCGCCGCCTCACCGTTGGGTGCTGGAGGTACGCCGGCGTCTACTTCCCAGGATACGACGGTTTTTACCAGAGTGTATGGATGTCAAGGAAAAATTCTATATCTCTTTTCAAGGAATAGGGCCTCCTTTTATACACCATGGGGGAGAGGGGAGGAGCCTCTAACCATCAAGGCTGGCAACTAATGCTAGCAAAACTGCCCAATCAATTTTGTAAAACTGATGAGCCTTAAATGTGTGAGTTATATACACATTTATGAGGCAATTTCTTATTCAACCATTTTTCTCCAACAACCCGGACGTCTGGTCGATTGATCAGAACAGTGTTTGTTTTGTTTTTTGTTTTTTTTTGCACCTGTTTTTTTTATATTTTAAATAAAAAATATTTCTAGAATTTTTTTTAAAAAAATTTATGAGCTTTGAATAGGATTTTGGGTTATGTGTTTGGTTATGAGTTGTAAGTTTTTGAATTGAATATCATATGTCACATCATTCATTTCAAACTCAATTCAAAACTCTTTTCAAAACTCATAACCAAACAAATTTTTCACACTCAAATTATAATTCCAAAACTCACTAACTCAAAATACAACTCTATTCTCATATCATATTTAGAAAATTTTACCAAACGCTACCTTTGTTTTTTTACTTTGTAATGTTTATGGTTAGTGTTAGCATCTAAATTTCTCACAAATGTGTCATAAAACACGCTAATTTAATTTGAAAAATAGTTTACCCTTTTTTTTTTCATTGTTGAAAATGATAAATTGTATTAATTTTTTAGTATCTAACTTGTCATTAAAAAAGACAAGAATTATATAGATCATTTCAAAAGTTCTTAGTATTTTAAAACTTATTTCTCTTGCTATAATACAGATTGCAATCACTCTCTCTCATCTCAATCACTCTTCTCTCTGTCTCGCTCTTGTCATTGTTACTCTTTATCGGCGCCTTCACCACTTTCCATTGGCGCCACCATTGCTCACCATGGAACTCTTTCTCCATCGTCTTCGTCACCACCATCACTTATTGTATCTACAACTTCAAATCTGAGATCATTCACAGTTGTTGTTGTCAAAAAATAACAATTTGCGACGGTTCGCAAACCTCAAATCTGAGATCCGTCACACACACACACTCTCTCTCTCTCCCCTTCTTATTCTTTTTTTTCTTCTTCTCCTTTATTTTCGAACTTTGTCTCTCTATCTCTCTTTCTTCTTCTCATGATGCTCTGTTCTTGCAACAGTAAAATTTTACTCTAGTTCATGACACAACACTCTTCTGTAAAGCCATCATCGCAGTTTGTTTTAAAGTAAAATTTTACTTTGAATCATAGTAAATTTCACTCTGATTTAGAGTAAAATTTTACTTTGTAATAAATATAAAAAAAAAAGAGAGTAAAATTTAACTTCGAATCAAAGTAAAACTTACTATGATTTAAAATAAAATTTTACTGTCGTTAAGCAGATCAACATGTTGTTAACTAGAGTAAAATTTTATTGTTACAAAAACAGAGTATATATTAAATGAAAGAACCAGAGTCAAATTTTATTTTTAGATCTATAAACAAACAAATAAAAAACTCTTGATTTTTCATTGCAATATATCGATTTCTTATTTTTCTATCAAATCTAAGGTTTTTATTTTTTTTATTTTTTTATCTCAAATATGAAATTATTGATCTCAAATATGAGTTCGTAGAAGATAGTGGTGGTTTGACGGTAAAAATGGTGATTGCCGACCGACGATGAGAATAAGTGACGCCGATAGACAATGGAAATAGTGAAGATGATGAACAACCATCGAGTTGGTGAAGAGAGAGAGAGAGAGAGAGAGAGAGAGATGAGGTATAATAGGTGAATAAAATATTCAAAAGAGAAGAAAGAGATGGTATAATGGTCAAATAAAATATTTAAATAACAAATTTTGTCCTTCATACATGACTTTATAAATGTGATTCTTTACACCACTACTTTACCTCTTTACACCCTCCATATGATTTTTTTTTTTTTTCAATTTTATCCATGTGTGAAATTACCTTTAAGGAAAAAACTACTAAAATTAAATATATTTTATTATCTCCTTACACCTCTTGATCTTTAATCCCTACTTCTCTTTTTCTTTTCTTAATTTTTCTTTTGTCTTACACATCTCTTTTAAAAAAGTGATAATCATAGAATTTTGATCACTAATGAAAGTAATGGATGAAAAAACAGTGATGAAGAACCATCAAAAAAGTGAAATGGTGAGTTATTTATTTATTTGGCAGGTTTTTGTTTCGTTTTTCTGGATTTGTGTTCGACTTTCGTTCGGTGGTTCGAAATTGAATAAAATAAAATAGTCCAGCATTACATTGCCGAACAAAAAATATAAGTCTGGTAACGAATTACCAAATAAAAGATACATTCCCGGTAACCCCAAACCGAATTTTTTTTAATTTATTCAGCTTCTCATTACCATGTATTTTCAGTTTCATTTTTTATTATTTTTTAATTTTTTGCCTGAAAGAATTATACTTATACTCATTGTAACAACGCAAGTACTGCAATATTAGTGGACTTTAGTTATGAATTCATTACAAACGAAGTTTGTTAAGTTTTTTTTTTATGAATATGATTTTTTCTTATTTTTAATTTGTATTGAGTTTTATTAATAATTTGACGTATAAATATATTTATTATCTTTAGATTTTTCGTAGTTATGAAGCATTAATTAAATGGGCTTCTGACGTTGGGAAGAAAACTGGATTTGTCGTTGTTATAAAGGCATCAGATGCGGGAGGGAATGACAGAAAATCAAGACTTACACTTGCTTGTAAAAGAAGTGGTTACTATAGAGACAATAGGAAAATGAAAGGGGAATGATTGAAGTTGACAGATTTTAAAAAGTGTTAATGTCTATTTTTATTAAGGGGAAAAAATTACCTACAAATTACCAAGACGGATTGTGATGACATGTTTGATTAATGAATGCAAACAATGACAGATTTTATAAATACTTTATGGATATTCGTACACTTGATATTTTTATGAATAATTTTATAGATACTTTTTATGTATGATTTCATGGGTGCATGTTTGATTTATGAATTTTTTTATGGATGCTACAAGGAAAAAGTAAATATTTCAATGTACAACGATAGGGGCCTAAACAACTCTATTGTAATTTGGTAATATGACACTAGAGTAAACCTATTTGTATAACAATGTATCACTGAATATGCACTTCACAAGTGGCCCAAATTAATTTATTGTTATCATCTAATTGGACGGCAACATAATGCTGGAAAAAAAATATTATCCGGTAATATGACACTGGAGTAATTTAAATTAATTAGCGTTATATTACCGAACAGGCCCACCACAGATTAAAAAATCATTGTTTGGAAGAAAAGTGTCTCTGTAAATGTATAGCAACAAAATGTTGGAAAGATCTATTTTTTCCGACAACATAGTACCGGAATAGTGTAAATTGTTTAGCACCGTGTTACCAAAATTAGTGATGTAAAGAGATGAAATAGTTAATTTAGGATTAGTTTTGGTAATATAGGGGTGTAATGAGAATTACATTTTTTTAGTGGTGTAATGAGATGGAGGGTGTAAAAAGGTTAAATAGTGATGTAAATAGAATCACCCCTTTATAATTATGAAGAGATTTTTAAAATATTAAATTTTGCTTTTTTATCCTTTTAACAAGAAAGGGAAATTAGGAGGAGTTTATGACCAAATTTTTCTAATTTTTTTTATATACAAAATCATATGAATAGATAGTTTTGCAAATGAATATAAATATTTATATGGAAAATACCCCAGATCCGCAGCGGGTGACTTTCACCACCCCTACTAATTTTTGATTGGTTTAAATTTTATTTTATTTATTTTTAATCTTACACTCACAGCAAGACACATGGAGCTGGGGCGTACTGGGTCCCAGCACGGTTGTATTTATATATCATATTATTTTGATATATTCAATTGTATAACATTACCCCATTTCATAACCAGTTTAATCATAAAACAGAGAGAGAAAAAAAGAGAATAATAAAAAAAAAAGGATTGATTGTAAATTGTAAAAAGAATACAGCCAAACACGTCCTTAGAAAAACCCACACATGAAAACCGCACGTGTGTAATGACTTCGGAAGAACGATTGGAAATGTCTTCATGGGTTTGCTGTCCAATGTTAAATATCAAAAAAACACAGACAAAGCATCGATCGAACGAATTGGGGCAACGATTACACTGAAATTCTCCTCGAATCAGGTCCATTTCTCTCTCTAATGCTCAATACGCTTATTGAGTTTTCACTTCTCATCAAAATCTCATAAGGGTTTTCAATTTCTTCTCAGAATCACACTTTCAATTTCTCTCAATTTTATTCTAATTTTAGTTCTTCTAGTTATCTTTCTACTTCTACTTTCTTCGATTGCTTGATTTGCGTTTTGGGTTTTCTTTTCTCATTCAAATCTCATATGGGTTTTAATAGTTGTTGATTTGCTTTCAGTCTATAATTTTTTATATTGCTTTAGAATACAAATTTTGTGTAATTTTTATGTTAATGTTGTGCGTTAAGCTTTATCTCATGATTGAATGATGATTACCATCTAGAGAACGTTGCAATTGTTGTTTGAGCTTAACGTCTATATGGTTTTTCTTATTTCTAGTTTCAAAATGTTGTTAGTTCATAATTGTGACTATCTTTTTGTTGCAATTGTTTCAATTATACAGATGAAAACTGTGTTTGGCAATTAGGGTTTCCAACTACGGATTGAAATTTGTGTTTTTTCCTGGAATGTTGATGTGGGTTTGATATTGGTAGGTGTGTTAGTTGGAAGTAAAATGGTTGCCAATCAGCATTATTCTCGAATCGACACTTTAGAGCTCAAAGCTCTTGTTTATCAGAAGATTGGACATCAAAGAGCAGACAAATACTTTGATCAGCTCAAACAGTTATTTACTTCCAAGATTAGCAAGAATGAGTTTGATAAGTTCTGCATTCAAACAATTGGGAGGGAGCATATATCTCTTCACAATCGGCTTATTCGTTCCATTGTCAAGAATGCTTGCCTTGCTAAAGTTCCACCATTGAAAGTTAGAAGGGTAGAAGAGTCCCTAAATGTTAAAGTTGCAAATGTTTCTCAAAGAAATTGTCTTCAATCTCTTTATGGTGAATCGTTTCCTCCGTCCCCTCGGAAGGGTAGGTCTCATGTTAATAGGGATCGCAAGTTTCGGGATCGTCCAAGTCCTCTTGGACCGAATGGGAAGACCCAAAGTGCCACGTGTGAGGAACCAGTTCCGAGAGTACAAGAGCAGCAAAGCGCAACGGAGTTGCTTTCTCATGGTAGCCGACCTCCTGTTGAAGTTACATCTGTGGAAGATGGGGAAGAGGTTGAACAGATGGCTGGAAGCCCTGGTGTCCAAAGCAGGAGCCCTGTTACAGCTCCTTTTGGTATTTCCATGAATGTTGGCTGTGCTCGTAAAACTATTTTTAATGGATCTGTGTATAATTTTCATCCCCAGACCTGCCAAAACAGTGGTGAGCTACCTGATGCTAAAACTCTAAGGAGCCGTTTACAGCAAAAGTTGGAGATAGAGGGCCTTAGCATGTCAGTGGACTGTGTAAACCTGTTAAATAATGGTTTGGATGTGTTTCTGAAGAGGTTGATTGAACCTTGTATGGGACTAGCTGGGTCAAGGTGTGAAAAAGAGCACCTTAGGCAACTAAATGGTCAGATTATTAATGGTTTGAATGGGGTTTTACCTGGAGGATACATGCAAAGACCAGCCCAATCTGTTTATGCATCTATGTTGGATTTTCGTGTCTCAATGGAGTCAAGTCCTTGTATACTTGGAGAAGATTGGGCAATACAACTTGAGAAGATCTGCTCACGTGCATCCGAGGAATGAACAGAGGCTAACTAGAAAACCTACTCAACAGTTTGACATAAGGTTGGACCCTGGGGCATGAGTTCAAGATTCCCCATGAAGGGATGATACGACTCTTTTTCCATTGAAGATTTGCTCTTAGATGAATCTTGAGCTCCAGTGTTAATGTGGTATTCACAACCACTGCCAAAGGGAATAAGCTGTGATTTGGGAAGTTTCAGATTAAGTAGTTAGGTTACATTTAGATTAGCAATATAGTTGTTGGGGATGGAAACATGTTTATACGGTCATTTTACACATTTTGATACTATGGGAAACCTTGCTTGTCTCAAGAGATCCAACATCATTCTTCAATTGATACCTGTTGTAGTGTTGTGCCTTGTGTATTGAGTTTTCCATGGAATAAAGCATTATTTAATTCCAAAATTGTTAAGTTACTAGGTTTGTCAACTAAGATCTTAATTGAACGTGATGTGGAAGTATCTACTTTTTTGTTGTTTTATACAACCATTTTATTTCTCCATGACCCATCCATCATGTGTAAGTTTTATGTTCATCCTGAGCTATCATATCATTTGGTACTTACCAATGTGACTTTAAAATATAGGGGGAGGAAGTTACCATTTTATTTTTTATAAGTTTGAAGCATTTGAAAATTTTACAAAGAAATAAAAAACATTGTGGATGGGATTGCTATCCAATTTTAACCAAATTGCATCAGGCATCCACTAGGATAAAATAATGCCTGACTTGCTCTGTGCAGTGGACATGAATTATTTCCTTTTGCTCAAGATGTTATGCCCGTATGTGCAGTCCTTGTCCTCTTGAGATAGTTTTTTGCTTGAGATGTTATGGACTTGTGTCCAAATTACTTGTTAATTGGTTTGAAGTTCCTCTGCAAAAAAAAAGTCTGATTGAGGACTTCAATTCAAAAGGTGGTTGCAAATGGAATATGCACTGTCACAGGTCAGCTTGCTTTTGATTGACATGTTGAGCTTCCAAGAAATTATTGAATGGTGCAACATCATACTTGATCTCAATTTATGTGATTTTTTCATTTTGGAAATAAATTAATTGAACTGAACTCAAGTTGAGGGTGGCGCTTGGAAAGTTTCTCTTTTCTTGCAGATCATATGTACTCGGATAGGCAAGACCTCTACCCGCTAATGGATTCTTTGAGTGAGATGAAATGGAGTGGGTGGATGAATCAGCAAGTACTTAGGAATGTAAGTCAGTTGAATGACTTGGTAAGAACAAATTATGCTTATTTATATTGCAAAATGTATTTTCTATTTTCTGTGTTCTGTTTTCTTTATGTTTTGCTTTTACATTTTGAATGATATTCTTGCCTCATTCAGGAGAAGATCAAAATGTCTGTGTGCATGTTGGCCATCCGCTGCACCATGCTGGCCTCCCGCAAAGCTCTCATACGCAATCATTGGCATCGACATCCATGAACTGACAAACGAGAATAGAACTGGGTGTATGAACCCATTTCAAACAAGAAGCAAGTTTAATTTTCTTTTGTCTAGTAAAGGCTTAATATCCTGTATTGTTTTTGTTTGTGGAGTTTGTCGTCGGGAAGGAAAGGTCAACTTCACTCAGTGTCTATGGATGATTTTCAGGCAATTCTTGGTTTGAAATTCTTGCGTTACACTAAGACAGCAGTGATGCCTTACTCCCAACTCCATGCATCCTATGGGGGAGAAGCCACGTCTCATACCCACAATGTCGACTACGAACATCGACAAGTTCTTTTATGCTATGCAGATTAAGGGGGTGAGATGAGGTGAGCAAAATTCGGTTGCAGTATTGAATAAGACAATGAAGTGTGTCCTAGGGCAATTTGTTGATGTAATGCTTGAACAACTGCCTAAAGAGTTGCCTCACGTCCAGGCGTGGATCATGCAATTAAACTTGTGCCTTGTGCAAAGCGTCCCGCCCACGCACCATACAATATGGCTATTCCTGACTTGCAAGAGTTGAGGAACCAGCTCACGAACACGATGGATGGTTGTTTCCATTGTTATTGTTAGTTCTATAGATCTCAAGTTTATTTCTTCCTTTTTTCCTTTTTATTTTTTTTTCCTGGTCACAGACTTGTTGGATGATAGTTTCATTATTATTGTCAATTCTATAGATAAGTTTATTTCTTTTTTTTCTTTTTTTTGGTCATTGTTTCTTTCTCTCATTTACTTGCTTTATCACTAAATGAAGTTCTTTTTCTTTGCCAAAAATTAATATTCCAATTCCAATTTACGAATCCAACTTGGAATATGCCAACACTTTCTTTCTGGACAGGGATTGAAAAGCTGTAGTTGGAAGCAAGAGAGTGATACAAGTGAATTAAAAAGAAAAAACTTCTGTAGCTTACAAGTAGATGTCAATACAAATATTATTTCAATTAAATATAGTTCTAACATCATAGAGTTGATCACAAAAACACAACCGTGCCTGATTTTTACTGCTCAACTGATAAATATATGGGCTCTTCTGGTTCTTCAACCACACTCCTGCTTTAGACGTCCCATCATCTGCAGATGCACTCATGGAGTTCGGCGTGTATGATTCAACGCAAATGCACATGACGAGGAGGTGCAGTGAGTATGATCCAACGCATCAGCAGTACCATTGGGTCATCAGCTGATACATCTCACTTAAGTAGTGCTGCTTGCTTTATCTAAGCTTGCCATGTATGTCATGTAAATAGTCCATAAATATGAAAATGAATTGCTCACCAATGGCTGCCACAATAAAACACCAAAGCCAAAAGATATGAGCTAAAAAGAATATCCCGTAATGTTAATCTGATAAGATTAGTCTTCCTTGTTCATATATTCAAACTAGGGTATAATTTTCTAATATGCAGATAATGTCTCACGTTTACCTGTAAATGAACGGGGATGAATTTGAATGTCACAAAATCACATATGGGCCAATACATAACACCACTCAGCATCGTAGGGAGCAAGTCTCGCTTCAATCGTGCAATTATTTCAGCACCATTTTCACCTGAGGTGGGGAACAATGGAAAACCATCATAACAACATTATTATAGTCAAACAACATAATAACATGAATAGTTTGTACATGATGCCGTGAAGCAAGGGTAGAAAGTAGCAAGTTCAAGAGAAGTAGGACAGACACAGCAATGACACAACAGCATTTTAATGTATCTATACAAAGACCTAGATAGGGGTTATGTATTATGCACAAATAGCATTATGAGCAAACCACCACCTAAATTTTGTTACCTAATCCCCACAAAACAAATACCAAAATTTGTGATTGTTAATCTTCATTGTTCACAATATGTTTCCCCGTTCCATTTCTTAAATTGTGTTATTTGAACCAAAAGAGTGTAAAGGCCAACCTTAATTCTACAATCTAATAACTATGCTTTGCTGGTCATTTTGACAACAGAATAGCCACAATCCACCTGACCATTGAGATCATCTAAACATTGACATCTCAAATTAAATCCACACACTAGGTCATTCTGCTAGGATGATGTGGAGCACCAAAATCCTGCACATCATGAAGAAGGGCAGGGTAGGCCTTATAGCTGCAAAACTTGTTATATCTTTACTACAAAATTTAGTAGATAATTATATGAGCTATTCCATCATGAATTAACTTTCTGATGGATGAATGGGAACAGGAAAGGAATCCCAACGTCTTCATTTAATATGGATATTTATAGTTAAAAACCATGCAAGCAATAAATAAGGACCAAAATGAAGTATAGAAGGTGCATTTCCTAGGCTAATTTGCATTTGAAATATTCATATCTGTATAATAATAATTTTTCTTGTCAGCCTAGCTGCTTTGTTCACAGTTTTTAGATGCGTGTGATAGACTAGTAGCATTGCTGTTAAACATAACAACAATATTCTTGACATTGTATTAAATTAGAACAATTGGCTTTAACTTTGGGTTACTTGAGAAGAATAACAATGAGGTAGATCATATTAATGACACCAAGTTCATTGTATGCATAAGCCTAACAAATCAACTATCTTCAACAATATGAATATTAAAAATTTTGAATTTTGTTATGATGTTTTCCAAGTTCACATGTGATTCCTCAAGTTTTTGGCCCAAAATGTTGAGCTTTGAAGTGTTTAGTTTGAATTTGAAGCTTGGAGATCAAATCTCGAAATTCTAGAATTTGCATCTACGCTCGAGCGTAGGAGTTCACGCTCGAGCGACCACTCTGAGTGCATGCACTTCCGCTCGAGCGACCTGAAACCCGCTCGAGCATAAAATGCATGTACTCAGAAGTTCATATGTTTTGCAACACGCTCGAGCGACAAAAGTCACGCTCGAGCAAGGGTTTGAGTCTCACGCTCGAGCGGGGATCGAGCGTTCGTCGAGCGTGAAAAACAAACAACCAGTACTTTTTCAAAATTACAGACCACTCGAGCGAAGAAAGTTACGCTCAAGCGGACTCTCGCATTTTGCATGTCTGCTCGAGTGAGGAAAGCCACGCTCGAGCGTGGACCCTGTTTTCAGCAAGTTTTGAAAAATGTTTTTCAAGTGCATTTTTTTGCCTCCTCATTCCATCCTAGGCATTCCTAGGCCATGATTAAGACACCATAATGAGGATAAAGGGTAGAAACACACTAAGAACAAATGAAATAAGCTATATATAATTCGAACATGTGTTTCAATGTATGTATCTGTTATGTTATGTAGGTCATGTGCCACGAGTTAAGTGAATTACCTGCTCTACTCGTTTACTTGGAGCCATCTATTAACTGTGAGTAATAACTCTGTAAAGTTATGTTAATTACAAGTATTTTCTGACTGATATGATACGATATGTTTTCTGAAATGCTATTTTATGAATTATGAATGAATGTCCATTTTTCTGAAATGTATTTGTGGCATCCTTAGTTCATGTGGCCCTCGCCCGGAGGTAACAATACCATGGCCAATATGCATGTGGCCCTTGCCCAAGGGTAACAATACTGTGGCTGATATTCACATTTTCTTTTTTAACACCAAAAGTGTTTAATGCATGCTTTCAATTCAAAATCTCATCTACAAGCATGGAGTAGTAAATACGCTATGACATCCCAAGAAAGAACTACAAAACCATGCATACATACATATATAGATTTATGTACAGAAAATATTTTCACACTTGTTGACTCTAAAACCAGTGGGGCGATGGGCACCCAAAACCTTTCCCTCTCCATTTTCACCGACTCCTGAAATGACAGGCTTGTGGACACCCAAAATCAAGTTTTTCGCATTTACCGACTCTATAAACGGTGGGCTCGTGGACATTCAAAAATCTTTCCTACATTCGTCCAATGGTATGCACAAAAGAGGGCAATTAGGCATCCTGACACCTAGATACAACACACAACTCAATTTTCGAAACCCGACTCAACTACCCGGACTTATAAGCTATTTACCCCTTTTGAAATTTTTCAAACACCCATAAGATGATTAAATCACAAGAGAAATTATGATGCACATGATCTATGAGTTTTCAAATAGATTTTCCCTAAGGTTGGTTCAATCCACAATAACATTAAAAATAACATTCATCACATAACAAATTCTCTAATTTCCCAATCACAAGATTTCTTTCCACAAGTTATCAAAAGACCACATCTCTGTACCAGAATACTCTCAATACATCCAATTTCATCTTTCAAGAATCAATTCAACAAAATCCCCTTTATCAATTCAATTAAAAAACTAGGGTTTTAATAAAATTTGAAGTTTTCCTCCCATTTGCATATAGAAAGTCAATATTCATCCTCAACATAAAGAATCGACGGGAAACTTTTACAATCTTTCTTAAAATCGTTAGATACAAGCTCCCATTAGTTAAGCAATCCACTTTATTTAACAAAAACATTTCATACATTGTTACACCTAAAAAATTACTACATACATGTCTCAAATCAAGAATATAACAAGTTAAAAATACCCTTACCTAGAAATAGTAGCTAAGAGTTGAAGACCCAACAAAAATTTGACCAAAAAACATTATCCAATCGATGAGAATCTTGAATCAAACTTGTTCTTCACTTTTATTGGAGGATTTGAGGTGAATCTTTAGCAAAACTTGAGAAAATCAAGTGTTTTTACGATTAGGGTTTGGAAATGGGTATTAGAGAGAGATGAGAGTTGGAAAAAGTGAGAAAAAAAAATGTTTGATCAACTTTTAAGTGAGTCGTCCCGATCAGACCGTTCGAACGAACTTTGCACTGTTCAAGCGGTAAACGTAAGGTTCTAGAAGTTTTGTAGAGCTACAGTGAAAATACTAGGAGCTTGCATTCTATGCTCGAGCAACCACTTCATCGCTCAAGCAGTCTCGCTTGCAAACAGGCAAGACACTGGAAGTTTCGCATCTACGCTCAAGCGACTGAATGACCGCTCGAGCGGTCATCCAAAACAGACTGTTACAAAGGCCTAAATTTAATTTTTTTTGGACTAAAAGGATATTAATCTGTCCAAAAGCACACTTTTCGTTTATGTCTAAATGTCATCTATTTGTACACGTGTCACGAATTTGTTCACTTATTTGTCAAAATGTCAATTATTTGTCCACCTCAATGCTACTAGCCACCATCGCTAGCAACTCTTCGACACCAGAGACTTTTTAACGCATATCCTTGTCATCATAAAAGATTAAATCTTGGACCAAATAAATAACATATGATCTCAAAGGTTTGGACATTTTACCATTTAACCCTTTAATTTATCATGTGATGTATTACCTCTACATCACATATATATATTATTAAAAGTAATATTTTTTCTATGTTTAGGTTGTATATTATAAGGGTTTACCTTTTTCTAAGAGGGTCGCGTCAATATGTATTTTCTTAACTACATATAGAGTTCTACACAAATCCAAACTCAATTTAAATTTATCTATTTTATATGGACTTTATTTCACAAATATTTCTTTTCCGTATATTTTTCGTGATAAATTGAGATAATCCACAAATCCAATACCAATTTTGCGTTTCACGTTTTTTCTCTTAATTTTTTCAAGGGTGTTAGGTTTTTTTTTTTAACACTAAACTGTCTTTTTTTTATTCTTCTTATTATTTTTCTGTGCATTATTCTATACCCAATACCAATTCTATATTATAGATTTATCGTTTAAATTTTATAGCGGTTCTATATATGAAATTATATTTCATTTCTTATATTATTTTATAGAATCACAACTCACAGAAGAAAAAACCTGCACAACAATATACTTTTGAGGAACCTCTAAAGTTTAGATTTACTGCTTGAGTAACTTTTTCAATTGTTGAGCAGTAAGTGTTTTTATGTTTTGATATCATATTACAAATGATTAATCATTTCACACACTAAGATGTATCTATCGTTTGGATATTTCCATTATTTTTTCTTTTTCCAGTTTAGATATTGTTATATGATTATTTCTTGATTAGTCATTGTTGAATTTTTTTTATATAATTGATATTTTAATTTAATTAAGAGTGTTTATTTTACAATATTATAATTATATATATATATATCATATAAAATCATTACATAATCCAATTACACCATATTTATATTTAATTTTTTAATAAATTTTATATAATATTTATTTCTACATATTTTTATTTTTCAAATGAATATATAAAAGAAAATTGAATAGTTAGAATTACTTTTAATTTTATGTTACTAATTCTTCTTCTAATTTAAATATTATTTTTAATATCAAAATGTGTACTTTTTTTATTAATTTAATATATATCATATAATAAATTATTATAGATAATTACACTTTAGTACCATAGAATTAAAATTATCAAATGTACAAAATAATTTAACTAAATTTATTATATATAACTGTGGAAGGACGGAATTTATTCTCCACAAGGAAAGCGAGATAAGTCAATCCTTCTGAAGCTCTACAAAAAGGCATCAAGCCGTCAGTGATCACTCTCGACCAAATTAGGTCGAGAAGACCCTCCGGCGGTAAAGTTAAAATAGTGTTTAGAATTATTATATTTTAAAAAAAAATTAATTATATTGTTTTTTTCTTACTTTCCTTTTGTTATTCTTGATTCTCCCTTTTGTAGTGTTAATACCTTATATTTGGGTCGTTGGATGACTGTTTTGATCCAACTGCATTTTATGGCCCAAGACATTGGCCGAGTAAGTGGTCAAACTATCTCGATTTGTCACCGTCAGATTGCTTCTCCTTAGATGGCTTGGATTAGTTCGGATAGTTATTCCCATCTTCGACCGTTGAATCTTGCTCATCGGATGATCATGTTGTCAGGATATATTGATCCTACATCCCTATCTCTTGTCAGTTTGTATCTCTATCGTTTTTTACAAATGGATCCAAGGGCTCTTCTTTGTTCTATGGATATCCTTCCAAAAGGCAATCTTATTCAGACCTTTGGTCACGTGACTCTGTTCCTTCACTTGATAAACCTAACGGGGTTTCGGGCCTAGCCATTACTTTGGGGTCGCTAGGCTAGGTTAAATTTTTTTAAAACAAAATTAAAATAAATGCACCAAAGACAAATTGCCATGACTTGACTTGTATCACACTCTCTCTTAGAAGATAGATATTAGCTTTTGCACATGTCATGCTTGGTTGTCAAGAAAATTTGAAAGAAAATGAAACTATTATGAGAGTGTTTGGAAATAGGTTTGGATTAAAATAATTTATTTACAAATAAAATATGTTAAAATAATTAATAAGTTAAAATGTCGTACTTAATTCATAATATTTTTATTTTTTTCATAATCATCAAATTAATTATAAAGAAGAAAGTCAATAATATATATATATATATATCATATAAAATCATTATATGATAATCCAACTACAACATATTTATATTTAATTTTTTTTAATAAATGTTATATAATTTTTATTTCTACATATTTTTATTTTCCAAATGAATATAAAAAAAAATTAAATAGTTAATTTTTTTTTAATTTTATGTTACTAATTGTTCTTCTAATTTAACTATTATTTTTTTATCAAAATGAGTATTTATTTTACTATTTTATAATATATATTATACAAAATTATTATATGATAATTACACTTTTATAATACAATAGAGTAAAATTATCAAAATACACAAATAATTTAACTAAAATTAATATATATAAGTATTCAAGTAATAATTTTATAGAATGATAGCGTCAATATTATCAAAAATAAATAATTAAAAACATATTTTAATTTTGATTTTAAATTAAAATTAAAATTATTTTTTCATAACATATATTGTACCTTCAATTTTTATTTTTTTTTTAAATAACAGGTACATTACAAGAGTCAACTACTAATTCATAACATACATTAATAAAGCAGACACATTCAACTAATACAATTATAACAAATGAAATGTGATTATTGTAGCATTAGTTGGAAGGTACCAATCACAGAAGTCGAAAGCACCAATTTTCCTACTTTTCAATAAATAATTTTTTTTTTAATTTATATAAATTATTTTTATTTCGTAAATTGTGTATCTCCAAACCAAACGTTCAGTAAATGGGAATTGACTGAAAACCGGTTGTGGTTTTTCTTTCACCCAAGGTTTTAAAAAGCGGCCGCAACCGTTACGTAACGGTTTTGGTGGTTACCGCCACCCGTTACGACCGCTTTTGCAGTGTGATTGAGATTCACGGGTGTGTCGGCCGTAGCGGCTGCTGTAGCGGTCGTAACGGTGCCGAAACGGCCGTAACGACCTGTTACCCGCTGGAATTTTTCAACACATACCACAAACACATACCAGAAACTCTTCTTTCTATCTGGGATCTCTGTTTTGCTTCACAGATCTTGAGCTTCTCTCCTCTTCTCGCTGGTTCCGATTTGCACCTTCTCAGCAGTATCACAGCTCCTCCTGTTTCCACTTCCCCAATATCACTTTCTTCCTTGAATTTCCCATTGATTGACCCTTCATTTTCCCGAGAAAATCTCAATTTTCCTTCGCATTGTTGTTGACTAGATGTAGATCTGCACCGTACAGATCTTCGTCGCTAGCGAGCCAATTTTGGGGTTCGCCATTGGAGGCAGCATCGGAAACAGAGGAAGGTTGTGAAGAAAACAGAGCACTGCAGCACCTGCAGCAGATGGAAAACAGAGAGGAATCGGAGAGTGAAGTGAATTGTGGAGCTGCTACTTTTACATGAGCTTCCAATTCGTCTTCATCATCACTTTCATCTTCTATGTTCTTACTTTTTCGATTCGATTGGTCTCCGATTTCGCCAGTTCTGCAACACCCAAATCGGAAAACCAAATCCCATTTCTTCCGAAAAGGACGAAACGATTTGGGTTGGAGTTTTTTGAGGAAATGGTGAGAGAACAGAGTGTTTCGGAGCCACAAATAGGAACAGGGAGCTCTGTTGGAGCTCCTTTGAACGGCGAGACAGTGAACGTGTCCACCACACAGTATTTAACAGGGTTCTTTCCCATCTCCAGAGAGAGAGAGTTTGAGGATGCAGGTCCACTTCACTTTTCTTTGTTTAATCACACCCATCCACCGCCCACTTTATTTTTCTTTAATCAAACTTTATTTTTTATTCTAAACCTTCATTAATACTCTCAGACATCATGTTGTTCCCCACTTTTTTTATTATATATATATATATATCTCTTTTTATTATATTATAATAAAAATAAAAAAAAAAAATATCTTCATCTCTCCTCCGTTTGATTTCCAACTCCATTATTTTTATTTTTATTTATTTTCTCCAAACCACTTTCCTTATTTCCTCCATCTTTCATTTTTTGATTTCAAATATATTTTTATTATTTTTTCTTTATTTTTCTTTCACATTCTTTTTAATCTTTTTCCAATTCCCTTCATACCATATAGCTTTGCACACCAAATCATATTTTATTCATCTCAGGGATCAACCCCGATCACAATTTTACACAAAAAAAAAAAAAAAACCAACAAACAAACAAACCACCACAACACACCCGAAAAAATCATGTGAATATGGTACATAAGGTTTGTATTGTGCTCTAGAAGTTGGAAGTTGTTCAGCATCTTCCTTGATTTCCCTGGAAGAACCACAAAATAGAGGTGCACTGGGAATATCATCGTCAGAAAACTTTTCATTTGGCAAATTTCTGACACGAGAATCCTGCAAAATAATGGTTGTCTTAACAAAAAGTTATTTACATTTGAAGTGAACCATGCTAATACAGAGGCTGCAGAAAACGAGTAGCAAAAAAAATGATTCACAAAAATCATAATTTTATGATAGAAGAAAGAGTTCCAATATCATGGACAATTATATGACATAATCATTGAAACCTTGGTAGTAGAAACAAGACCCTGAAATCAAATTTATGCTTCACATGAATACTTCAAAATGAGTGAACCAACTTATAGAACACAACATGTGTATCATGTATGCTGCTTGCTGAGGATTAGTTTGCAGAATGTGTATAATTGATGGCAGAACTTGTTCCTCTTGCACAATTTTTACATCAAAACACATAAAATCCTTTCACTGGAGATGTTATCATGTGTTGACCAAAGGGAGAGAGGGATGGTGTCACCTGTAATGTAGATAAATTTAGAGGTTTTCCATTTCACAGCCCATGTGTGCACACCCAAGACCAACACACTCAGACAGGGCTTCTCTCTCTTTTTTCCTTGCCCCCCCGACATACATAGATATCTATTGTTAGAATTTACCTTCACCTACACCACTATCACCTCACCTACTCCACTAAACCTAACCCACTACACCACTACCACCTCCACTTCACCTACACCACTACCACCTCCACTTCACCTACTACACCTATATCTCCTATATAAGGAGCCTCTCACATTTGTACTAAATGTATCTATCAATAAATCAATAACAATCTTGTAATTCATCAATCAATAATACATCAGTTTATTTTACATGGTATCAGAGCCATAAGATTTAGGTCTATACTGCTTTCTTTCCGGCGGGCAGCCGGCCGGCAACCTTGCCTTCGCTGCCCGCTGGAATTTTTCAACACATACCAGAAACTCTTCTTTCTATCTGGGATCTCTGTTTTTCTTCACAGATCTTGAGTTCCGATTTGCACCTTCTCAGCAGTATCACAGCTCCTCTCTGTTTTCCATCTGCTGCAGGTGCTGCAGTGCTCTGTTTTCTTCACAATCTTCCTCTGTTTCCGATGCTGCCTCCAATGGCGAACCCCAAAATTGGCTCGCTAGCGACGAAGATCTGTACGGTGCAGATCTACATCTAGTCCACAACAATGCGTTTTTGGGCGGCGAAGATGAATTGAGAGCTGCTACTTTTACATGAGCTTCCAATTCGTCTTCATCATCACTTTCATCTTCTATGTTCTTACTTTTTCGATTCGATTGGTCTCCGATTTCGCCAGTTCTGCAACACCCAAATCGGAAAACCAAATCCCATTTCTTCCGAAAAGGACGAAACGATTTGGGTTGGAGTTTTTTGAGGAAATGGTGAGAGAACAGAGTGTTTCGGAGCCACAAACAGGAACAGAGAGCTCTGTTGGAGCTCCTTTGAACGGCGAGTCAGTGAACGTGTCCCCACCACACAGTATTTAACAGGGTTCTTTCTCTCTCTCACTTTACACCCAAGAGGTGCACTTTACTTGGTCCAAGAGGTGCCCTTTATGACAGTCCATTATACATCCCACTTGCCTATGACCCACCGAATTGCCTATGACCCTCTATTATCCCTCCCACATGCACTTTATGCTTAAAACTTTTTTTAATCATCCCACTCTCTCTTTGTTTTTAAAATCATTGTCTTTTCCTTCCCATCAACTCTCTTTTTAAAATAAATGATTCATCCTCCACCCAGCAGATTCCTACACACACATCCATTCCCGTCTCACTTTTATTTTTTTATTATACAAATTAATTGGTGCTCTCTTTTTGTAAAAAAAAAAAAAAAAAAAAAAAAAATGAAACAACAAG